ATTTTTTCCCTTTATGAATTTCTTTGGCCGAGTTAAAATGAAATTACAAAGAAGTCCCTCTAGATAATTCCCTATTTTTTCCAAATGGCAAAAAGACCCCCCCTTATCCATTAAGCATGCAAGTCCCTCCCAACTCTATAAATAGAACCCAAGCCTTCATCTATTTCTCATTTTTCTTTACACATTCTAACAATCAAAATCTCTTTCCCTTCTTCTACCAATTTTCGCAATTATAGAGTAGGAAAGCCCCAAATTCTCTCTCTCAAGAGTAAAATTCTTGGCCAAAGGAGCAATTCTTCTTCCTTTTCTTTCTTTTCTTCATTTTCGCACATTTTAAGAAAATAAGATTCTTTTTCCCCTCTTTCTAAAATTTATTCTATATATATATATATATAAATATAAAAATATATATATATATATTTATTTATATATATATATATATATATATATATATATATATATATATATATATATATATATATATATATATATATATATATATATATATATATATATATATATATATATATATATATATATATATATATATATATATATATATATATATATATATATATATATATATATATATATATATATATATATATATATATATATATATATATATATATATATATATATATATATATATATATATATATATATATATATATATATATATATATATATATACTAGACCTGCGTGATCTTAAGGAAACTTCGATCCATGGTTTTCGTAAACCTGCGTGGTCGAAGAAAGTACTTGATCCATGGTTTATTTATAATCTATATGTGCTATATATAAGTATATGTTTCTATGTGTATATATATCGACCTACGTGGTTGTAAGTGTACTCGCTTCGGGTCGAGGAAGCTTACGATCCATGGTTTATGATCTATGACTAATAAGATAATATACGAAGTAAAAACCGAGGACAAGATTAATAAAAATGGAATTTTGTGTGATTGAATTGTTGATGGTTCGAATATTTTGGAAAGAAAATGAAATAAATGAAAATTTGGTGCTACTTGAAAGAAAACTTCAAGTCTCTTGAGAAAGAGGACTTGAACTTTAATTAATGAAACTTGGAGATAGTAATTATAAATAACCGAATGCTTTGAGTTGTTTTGCTATATGTGTAAATATGTGATCTATGTTCTTTGCTTGAGTTGTTATGTGTCTTACTTGCTTTTGTGATTTTGTGACTAAACTATGTGCCTTTGTGAAATATGTGGAAATATGTGTGCCTATGTGAAAGCTAACTTTGAATATGTGAAATGAATAATATATACTAACTTCACTTGCACGTTTTTTAAATTGGAAAGTTTTGTAAAACATAGATCGAATAGGCACGGGGTATGAGGGACCGGTACCCAAAAAATGAGATGAAGAATGTGTGGTTTGATTCCACTTATGAAATGGGTTCCAAATAAATGAAGGCTTATTGTCTAAGGTTTTGCTTGATTTTCCAAAGGATATCCGAACAAAAGTGTTTTTCTCACACATTGTATGAACACTTGAATGAATGTGTGTGTAAAAGAATGACGACTCCCTTGTGAGGGATTTACTCTTATTCCTTATGAAATGATTAAAGGAAGGTCTAAGAGGTAAAATCAGAAGGTCTAAGAGGTAAACCGAGAAGGTAAATGTAAATTGATAAAGTGCCTTAATGAAATGACGATTGAGGTAAAATCGAAATATTTATATTGTGTATATTTGTGATTTGAGATGGTATATATATATATATATATATATATATATATATATATAGGCTATGTGTATCGATATTCTTCGGAAATCTCATTGAATCCAAAAGACTCATATAGGTGTTGAAATGCTTATAGGTACTTTCAATCCCGAGCACGAGTCGTAAAGTTGGAGTCGGGTTCGAGGATCGAGGGATGTGTTCATATGGAAGGCGTGTGGATCTTGTGTGCTCTTAATTTAGCTATATTATTCTACTTATATAGTTTAATTTTAAAGACTTTCGATACTGTCTTAGATATCTATTATTGTACTCTTCCACCCCTCGGGGGATCTTGTTAGTAAGAACATTGCATCTAATAATAACTAGGATTTTGATTTCCTCTTTTTGCAAAACTTCTATATATGTTGTGTTCTGCCCTATTGTTCGATAATCTGTATTAAATATATTTTCTGTTTAGAATTGCATGTAATTTCACAGAGTCATAGGTATTTCTGTTAGGGTTATTTTGGTAGGTCTTTTGCATCATTTGGCTAAGTCACGATTTTATTATGAATTAATTTCCATAACTGTGCACATGCTGAATCTTTTGAGGACTTGCATCAATATATGAAGTTTTCCTTACTCAAATAAATCCATTTAACTTGGAATATGTTCCTAGCTCACTTATATACTTTGGTATAAATTTTGGTAGTGTTTAGAACAGTAGGGAATTTATAAAGAATTTTCAAAGCTCCCTCCCCTGTTCTGGATTTTCAAACTGTACAGTTGCATGCCTTTAATTATTTCTCTCAAATGGTTTATGATATTTTAAAACTGTTTTAAAGGGGTGATTTAGACCCATATTAGAGTATGTGGTTAAAGTTTCAAATTATGTTCATGAAGGGTTTAGAAGAAATTAATTTTCGAAGCTGATCTACCTATTGTGTCTAAAACTCCTCTCGATAATTTAAATAATCTAGTCATTCATGTTCCTTTTGTGATATTTAGTTAATTGTATATGATATGGTATTATGTGGACACTCTTCCCCTGATTTTAAAAGAAAAAATTATGCTCAACCTTCTATTGGTAGAAGGTGATTATTAAAACGAGCATTCCACACTCATTATTTTCTATAAGTCTTCCGCTAGCATATTCTAAATTACTAAGTAAGTGTAATTAGAAAAGGGGGTGTCACATTTCGTTTATAAAAATTGATTTTTAATTTTGATTTTTTCAAATTTTCTTTTTACGTTTCGATTTAAAAACCAAAGTTTTTAAGAAATTGAAATTCACTATAAACTTATCCAAAACCACTATGTAATTAACGAAAACCACTATGTAATAAATGTATTCCATTACGAAAATTCATTATAAAGTTATCGAAAACCACTATGTATTCACGTAGTTCATTATGAAAATCCATTATAAGCTTATCAAAAATCACTAAATAATTAACATTGTCTATTACGAAAATTCACTATAAACATATTGAAAATTTCAGTTTTTTAAAAAAATCATTTTATTTCCAGCAGATTTACCAAAAAATGAAATCCATATACATTTGTCAAAATTTATCGACATTATTATAAAGAAAAAATATAAAAAATTAACGGAAAATTCACTATTAAATAGTCGTAATCCACTGTTAAATTAACGTAATTCACTATTCACTGTCTGAGTTTAAAATCCACTATTTACTGACTCTTGAGAATTATAATCTACTCTTCGGCGATCTAAAATATACATAGAGATGAGTACAACATCAAATAGAGCCCCGTCCGATTCGTTTTCCTCAATTTTTCGACCCATCAATAGCTCATACATAAGCACTCCAAATTAAAGTTGTACGTGCCGTTTTTTTCAATCTCCTTCTTTTATGTCCATATTCTGTCACATAGAAACAAAAACAAAAACCACTAATACATAAATATTAAGTAAACGTACACCATTAATCACAACAGTAACATGTATATTATCAACTCATACAGTGTTTTTAACACCCGAACACATGAATTACTAAAACGTAAGATATATTGAGTAACACCAAGGTAATCCACTACTTACTGACCCGTGAGAATTCGAAAACCACTATTTACCGTAAGCGCATTGACATCCACACCGTTTATCCCACAAATCCGATCGATTTTAGGCGAAGTCTGATCCCAAAAATTATAAACTCAAATTTTGGTAGAAGAATATAACCATTCTCGTCACCATATAAAAAGACAGTCTCGCCATACAAAACTCCCTATCTCTATGTCCGCATCTCCGAAAAAACCCTTATCTCGCTGGATCCAAATCTGTTAGCCGAAAAAAAATTCGTCATCCTTAGAGAGCGCCGACAGATCAGAGGTCGTCTTAGAGACGGTGAAACGAACTCGTCAAAGGGGATTATAGGGGATCGTCTAATTGGATTCCAATGAATCTTAGTGGCGACGAGATATGCAAGTGAGATGAGAATTAACATGGCAGGAGTGGTGGTGTGCTATGATGGACGTTGGTGAGGCATAGAAAAGGAGAAGATGAATGGTGGTCCTTTTTTCCGTCGCCGAGAGAAGAAAACAGAAGAAGAGATGGTGGTTGGGAAGAGAGAGAGAGAGAGAGAGAGAGAGAGAGAGAGAGAGAGAGAGAGAGAGAGAGAGAGAGAGAGAGAGAGAGAGAGAGAGAGAGAGAGAGAGAGAGAGAGAGAGGCAATTTGCTATAGGTCCCTCTATATTATAATTTATGTGTGTAAATCCAAGTCAAAATTTAATGTTTTAATAAATTAATAATATTTATTATGGCAAAAATACCCTTAATTAAATCAAATCAAATCCCCAAAAATCTCTCTATCATAACAAATTCCCAAACATCTCTCTTCCAAATATTAACGAAAATAAATAAATTAATTCATAACAAACATATACAATTTATTTTACAAACTCATACTCTAAAAACGTCACCGCAGCCCCACCACTGCATATGATCCGGGAAACGTCTATGACTCTGTGAACTCCAAATAGCAAACTGTAAAATTAGATTTTATATTATTGAATTGCAAACAACAAAATACCTATGATTTCGCCAAATGCAAACAGCAAACTGAAAAAACAAAATTCATAATTTGTATTACTAAATTACAAACAAAAAATTACCTATGACTTCGCCAAATGCAAACAGCAAACTAAAGAAAAACATTCAGCAAAACTTGCATTATTGAATTGCAAGCAATAAACTACCTATGACTTGGCCAAATGCAAACAACAAACTGGAAAAAATATAAAAAATCAGCATCATTAAAAACATCAACCAAAAAATTGTTTATAGAACAATTTGCAAACAACAAAAATATTAAACAAAATGTTTGTAAAATGTAACTTAAGACATACCTTGCAAATTGTAAACCAGAGGAATCGAATCTCAACATCAAACGCAATTCTTCAAACAACAAACGAAATTAAACCAACTGCAAACGGAAATTGCTAACAACAAACGATGGGAGGTTCTACATACGGAAAACACAATGCGAATTTGGTTAGGATTTTGGATTTCTGATTTTTTTTTGGGAGGGGATGTTTGTGGCCCTCTTTAATTCTTTCACAAAGAAATCCTCTCATAATCTAAAAAGATCCTTGTTTTTTTTTTTCATCTCCATAATATTTCTTCATTAAAAAAAAGAAAACGAAAAAGAAAAAAAAAAAGAGAGAAGCACGAGAGAGAGAGGCGTGAGAATGCTGAAGGAGAGAGATGAGGAATTATATAGGTGGAAAGTAACGTGAGATTGGAGAGAGAGGATATATAAGATTTGTTTTCTTATTAATTGAGGGTGTTATGGTCTATATACTAATTATTTTAATTTATTTATATTAATTTATTGGGTCAAAGGACGTATGCCTATATTCATCTAACAACTAGGATCTCTAGCCATATAAGTCCAAAATAAGGGGTGTCTAGCAAATTTCCCCCAAGATCAAATACAAGAGATTACAAATGATCTAATCTAACTAACTGATGAGCTAACAAGATCATATGCATACATCCTTCCTAGAATCTTCTAGAATGAGCTCAACGAATTGAAATTCACTACACACTTATCGAATTTCACTATAAAAATATTTCAAAATTTAGTGAAAATTATTTTTATCCAGCAGGTTTACCAAAAAATGAAATCCCATATACATCAATATTTATGAACATTGAATATCTAAAAAAAATTAACGTAAAATACACTGAAAGATTATTGTAATCCACTATAAAATTAACGTAATCCATCATTTCATTGCCTGAATTTGAAATTCACTATTCACTGTCTTAATTCGAAATCCAATATTCACTGTCTGAATTTGAAATCTACTATTCACTGTTTGAAATCCACTATTTACTGTACGTGTTATCAACCCCCATCCCTCTAACGTAATCCACTATTTAATGTCGCGCGAGAATTCAAAAACTACTATTTACTGTAAGCGCATCGACACCCCTCCTCTATTGCTCGCACCTGCATCATGTATATTTTGTCTGAAATCCACTACAAGTTCATCAAAAACCATTACAAAAATATAGAAATTCACTACAAAAGATCCCTTTACAAAGAGAAACTCCACTAAAAACTTGCCTAAATCCACTACAAAAGTCCCATTTAATAAACAATGTCATAGCGGACAATAGTAGAGTCACCCGGGCATCACCCAACCTCGTCCCACTTGTTGCCATCATTCCTTGTGCAAGAACCTGAACCAAAGAAAAAGAAGGCAACAACGTGTAAATTTAATTCATTCAAAACAAAATCGGTCTACAAAGCAAGAATTTTAAATCTACTGCAATTTCATCCAAACCCGCGACAAAAAATATCGAAATCCACCAAAATATTAACATAATCAACTACAAAATTAACTTAATCCACTACAAAACAATTTACAAAAATATTAACGTAATCCACTACGAAATTAAACTAATTCACTAGACAAATCCCCTTTTCAAAGAGAAAATTGAGTTCAATTATATCGAAATTCACTAAAATAGTAATGTAATCCACTACAACAAATCACCTTTTCAAAGAGAAAATCCAATTCAAAATAAGAATTACAATCTGTTTACAATCAAATTTATCTAATGACATAGAAAAAAATAAAAAAAATTACAGGTTACCCGTTTAAGCGAAATGAAATTGGAACTGTGTTCTTTTCACTCTGGATTTGTCCGAGGTGATGAAAATGTGCTCTCTTCTATCTTCTTGGTATCGCACCATCCTACACCACCAATGCGAACACATAGCCACTTTATTATTAGCAAATATATATATACACATAGCCACCAGGATTGCAAGTCGAGATCGCTAAGTGCTAACAATCTTACTGCCAAAAGTCCAGCATTTGTTGCATTAATTATTGCTACTGCTGCAACCGGAACTCCCCTTGG